TTTTTTTTGTGTCTGTTACCACTTTTTCTCAGCTCTCACCGAACCGATTTCTTTCAATAATACGTCAAAAGATCACAAATCGTATCTAGTTGAAGACATTACCCTTAAAAATTGAAAAAAATTCCCTCGTTCCCCGTAAATGAAGGAAACCTCCAAAAAAATTACAAATTTAAAAATGGCTAATTTTCGAAATTTTTTCAATTTTTACTACTAAGAACTGACGTAACTTTTTTACCTTTTATTTGGTATATATTTTTTTTATATCTGACCCTTTACTTACCCACAAGAGGGGATTTAAAATGACAACTTTTTGAAAAAAAATTAATTTTTTCAACTTGACTTTTGAAAATGTTCCGGAAAGTCTGACACTTTTATATATATCTTAAATTAAAGCTAATGTAATGTACTTTATTATGTAAAAAACGAATTTCGGACTTTATTTTGTCTTCACGGTGAAAATGGTTACCAAATGCTATTATTGTGTGAAAATTCTCGATTTTATTTTTAACTTTATAATGCTATAACATATTGAAAAGTGTATGGATCAACATAATTTTTTTATGAGAAATAATATTTTTTAATAATCCCGTTTTCATTCGATATACTTTATCTGAATCAGGATATTAATAAGGAACTAGCAGTTTATGAAGCTTTTGGAATAATCCACCAATTTTTTAAAATTAAACACTATCTAAAGATTTGCATCGAAGCGTTTTTTTTTATAGTGATTTTAATCACTGTCAGATATCATTATACTTGATCCANCTAAAAAATGAATTTGTTACCATAACTTATAGTTCAACTTACCACTGTGAAATTGACATTATTAAATTGAAAAAAATGAAATTTTTAAGATTAATATGCAATCTGGAAATTTTATAATTACTATTTACAGTACATTTGTCAGAAAATTTCGATTTTTTTGCATTTTTATCGTAATAGAAAACTGAAATAGAAAGAATAGTAATCATATCCTAATAACTTTTGGTGTTTAAAAAGATTCTGCAATTGAAATATTCAGAACTTAATTAATTTTAATAATTTACTTTAATTAAATGAACCAATCAAACCAAAGTAGTTAAAAAGATTTACTCAATTGAGCGTATTATCAAAAATATAATTATAATTGTAAAAATCCATCGTTAAATTTAGGTGAAACTAAAAATCATTTTTATTTTAAATTTATGATTTATATAGCAACATATTACAAAAAAATTTGGCATATAATAGACTGGTAGCAAAGGCGTAAAGCATTTGAGTAAATGTATTTGAATGAAAGTATTCAAATACTTTATTACCTACACAGGAGAAGTTGGATGATAAATTTTCTAATGATAATTTTTGTTATACTTGTACATCACATTGCCTCCAAAAATTGTAATTTTTAAATAAACATTTATTAATCAAGGGTGAATGCTACAAATAGATAAGTGCTATAAATTCTTAACAATGTAATAGACGTCCGTAAGAACAGTTTTTGGTGTTATATGTAGTGTATTCAGGAACAATTAATTTATAAAAAGTTAATTTGTCATTTTAGTGCTAATATTTAAATTTATAGGTTATTTTTAGTTTTAATTCTTAGCACTATTTTTAGTACATGCATTATTATTTAAGAATATACATATATTCTGTCTGAACTTTACTTATAACACTCAAAATCTACAACATTTAAAGTGCTTAACATAACCAATGCACTTAAAAATTTTTTCTGAAATTATATTGTATGTAAGAATAAACTCAAATTAATAATAATCTTATTTATGAATCCTCCATTTTAAAATCAAAATATTCTATAATAAGTTAATGTGATTACATATACTGGATGAAAATATAATATCTATACTTAATTGAAAACACATTCATTTAAAAAAATATTTATACAGCATATTATCAAAATTCATTTATATATTATTTTGATACCTTATTTTGAGTGTTAAGATTTTCAAATAAGGAAATATTATATTTTTCTTGGCACTCGATTAATTGTTTTTGGCACTCGATTAATTCTTTTTCTGTTTTTTTTAATTGTATTTGTAGTTTAATCTAAAGTAAAAAAATGTATAAATTTCCCAATAAAATAAAATTAAGAAAGATATTATTTTACATCAGTATCCTGGATTCCACTTAATTTTAAAATTTCATAGTCTTTTGAAATTTTATCGTACTTTTGTTTATATTGTTTAAGTTGTATTTGAAGTTCTAAAACCTAAAAATAAAATAAAATAAATATTTTAATCAAATAAATAATATTACATTCATATAATATATACCTGTAAAGAATATATGAGATGATAAAAATACAAGGAGTATAAGTGACATTAAAAAAGGTTTAATGTTCTAAAATTTAAAAGAATCTTATTAACTTATTTATGTAATTATTTTATAAAATCATCAATTAATGCAAACTAAATTTAGATTTTTTTTTTTAAAAAAAGAAAACTTTTTAAGCTTAATAAGGTAATACAATACATCTTTCACAGTTATTAACTATATACAGGGTGTTCAGTAAATAAGGAAACGAATTTCTATTGTACTCATTGTTTGTAACAATTTAACTGTTTCCTAACTTACTGAACACCTTGTATATTAATTAACAATAATTAGATTTCTTTTCTTCAAAATCGGGATTTTCAAATTTTTTTAAACATTTTTAAACTAACCAATCATATAAATGATTATAAAAAACCCAGCACAGGGGGGTCGCGGCACAGTGGTGACGTGACATATTTAGATCAAGTATAATGATATCTGACAGTGATTAAAACACTATCATAAAAAACGCTTCGATGCAAATCTTTAGATAGTGTTTAATTTTAAAAAATAGGTGGATTATTCCAAAAGCAACATGATCTGCTAGTTCGTTATTAATATGCTGATTCAGATAAAGTATATCGAATGAAAACGGGATTATTAAAAAATATTATTTCTCATAAAAAAATTATGTTGATCCATACACTTTTCAATATGTTATAGCATTATAAAGTTAAAAATAAAAAAATAAAATCGAGAATTTTTACACAATAATAGCATTTGGTAACCATTTTCACCGTGAAGACAAAATAAAGTCCGAAATTCTTTTTTTACATAATAAAGTACATTACATTAGCTTTAATTAAAGATATATATAAAAGTGTCAGACCTTCCGGAACACTTTCAAAAGTTAAGTTGAAAAAGTTCTACTTTCTATATGCATTTTTATGTTTTGAATCCCCCCTGTATTAAGGGAAATGGTCCGATTTAAAAAAAAGTATGTCGAATGAAAGATCTATATAAATACTACTTCTCATAAAAAAATTGTAATGATCCATACATTTTTCAAAAAGTTATAGCATAATAAAGTTAAAAATGGAAAATACAAAATCGAAAATTTTCACACAAAAATAGCATTCGGTAGCCATTTTCACCATGAAGATAAGATAAAGTCCGAAATTTTTTTTTACCATTATAAAGTATATTACATTAGCTTTAATTTAAGATATATATAAAAGTGTCAGACCTTCCGGAACACTTTCAAAAGTTAAGTTGAAAAAATTAATTTTTTGTAAAAAAGTTGTCATTTTAAATCCCCTCCTATGGGCAGGTAAAAAGTCAGATTTATAAAAAAAAAATATACCAAATGATAGGTAATGACATCATGCATCTAAAAAAAAAAAAATTATATTGATATGTTTATTTTTAAAAAAGTTACGTCAGTTCTTAGTAGTAAAAATTGAAAAAATTTCGAAAATTAGCCATTTTTAAATTTGTAATTTTTTCGGAGGTTTCCCCCATTTGCGGGGAACGAGGGACTTTTTTTCAATTTTTGAGGGTAATGTCTTCGACTAGATACGATTTGTGATCTTTTGACGTATCATTGAAAGAAATCGGTTCGGTGAGAGCTGAGAAAAAGTGGTAACAGACACAAAAAAAAAAANTATTTTCAAATTATTATTGATTTTTAATATGTTAAAAGTAATCATTTTGAACCTACTTCTTTTTGTTCTTTAAAGTGAAAGTTTTAATAAAAAAAAAATGAATTTATTACCATAACTTTTAACTCAACTTGCAAGTTTGAAATAAATATTATTAAAAAGAAAAAAATGAAATTGGTAGAGTATTTCAAAAACAACAATAACACTTATTCCCTTAATTTTACCCCGATTTATAACTATAATATATGAATACATAATAATTACAGTAATTAAATTGAGTATGAAAGTGGTATTCAATAATATAATATTGTAATTTTTACGGATATATTATAAAAATAAAAAGGAGTTGTATATTCATATACTTTTAATGCGTATACAAATTTAAAGGAATTTATGCAATACTTTTTAATAAAAAAATTTTGTTACTTATGAATAAATACACTAAACAAAAGGAACTTTCATCAGAAAAAAAATATACTTTTCTAAATAAACTTTTCGTGATGTTTTCAAATGTGCAATTAAACTTTTTCTATTACTTCTAAGTTTTAATATTANTAACTTTCATCAGAAAAAAAAATATACTTTTCTAAATAAACTTTTCGTGATGTTTTCAAATGTGTAATTAAACTTTTTCTATTACTTCTAAGTTTTAATATTATTANTCTTTGTTTTAATTCTTCTGGAAGTGTAAAATCCTTAATTTCACTTTTTAATTTCACACATTCAAGGAAATGTTTATTTTGCATTAAATACATTTCATTTTGTAAGTGTTGAAATTCACCTTCCAAACTTTCTAGCTATAAAATGTTTGGTATGTTTAGTAAATTTATTAATAACTGATAAAGCTACTTAAAAATAAGTATTTAATGGATGCATGAAAAATATTATTAGAGTAATTTGTTAATGCTAGTCATTAAATTTATCCTAAAAGAAAAATTTTGTGAAGAAAATTATTTTCAGTATTTTTAAGTTTCATATTTATCTTAATTTATGTATTTTTTTTTTTTAAGTACAACTAAATATTTAATTAATTTATTGAAAAAAAAATGATCAAATAGAAAATGACTGATCAATAACGTCTTTTGCATTAGTACTTCAAAAATGTATTAACAATTTTATTAACTACAAAGGAGAAGATGGGTGGAGAAATTTCTATTGATAATTATTGTTATACTTGTACATGACATTGCCACCAAAAATTAAAATTTTTAAATAATTATTTATTAATCAAGGGTGAATGCTATAAATAGATAAGTGCTATGAATTCTTAACAATGTAATAGACGTTCGTTAGAGCATAATTAATTTATAATGTTCACACCTAATATACATAAATTTTCATTGTTTCATGATCAAATAAATAATTTGTTGAGAGCAGACAGAGGTGATGCAGTTCAATTTTTGGTGTTATATAGTGTATTCAGTGTATTCATTTATTTAAAGTAAATTTTTCATTTTAGTGCTAAGATTTAAATTTATAAGTCATTTTTAGTTTTAATTCTTAGCACTATTTTTAGTACATGGATTATTATTTAAGGATATACATATATTGTGTCTGAACTTTACTTATAACACTCAAAATCTACAACATTTGAAGTGCTTTACATATCAAATGCACTTAAAATTTTTTCTGAAATTATAATGTATGTAAGAATAAACTCAAATTAATAATAGTCTTATTTATGAATCCTCCATTTAAAAATCAAAATTATTGTATAATAAGTTAACTTTATTACATATACTGGATGAAAATATAACATCTATACTTAATTGGTAACATATTCATTTTGAAAATATTTGTACACCACATTATCATAATTAATTTGTATATTATTTCGATACCTTATTTTGAATGTTACGATTTTCAAACAAGGAAGCATTATATTTTTTTTGCCACTCGATTACTTCTTTTTCTGTTTTTTCTAATTGTATTTGTAGTTTAATCTAAAATAAAAAAATGTATAAATTTTCTAACAACATTATATTGATAACAATATTATTTACATCAGTATCCTGGATTCCACTTTTTNATTTACATCAGTATCCTGGATTCCATTTTTTTTTAATATTTCATAGTCTTCTGAAATTTTATGGTATTTTTGTTTATATTGTTTAAGTTGTTTTTGAAGTTTTAAAACCTAAAAATAAAATAAAATTGATATTTTAATCAAATAAATAATATTACATTCATATAATATATACCTATAAAGAATATATGAGATGATAAGAAAACAAGAAGTATAAGTGACATTAAAAAACAATTGCACAAAAGTCATGATGAACATTTTTTATTTACATGGTGTTATAGAAAATAAAAACTGTCACTTATAAACCTATGTATCAAAGTGACTCATATAAGAGGTTAAAAAGAATTTCATATTTAAAAAAAACGTTATTTAGTATTAATAAAAATATTTGATTTGTATACAATAGATAATAATCAATTAAAATATTTTAGTATTAACTATATATATATATGTCAATAAATTTGTAAAATTTGAAAAATAGATATAAAAATACCTTCAATTTAAAAACTTCATTATCTTGTTCAGCTCGAGTCTTTTGATCTAATAGAACGTCTTCTGCACTTTTTAATTGTTGTTTAAAGTGTCCAATAGCTAAATTATGGCTTTCTAATTGTTTCTAAAGTTTATAAATTAAATTTATGAGTCTTACATTTTTTAGTACTATAAACATTTTATTTTTTGTCCACTGTGTAAAACAATTAAAATGTAAAAAAAGAGTTAGAGAACATAAAAAATATTATTATTAAAAATAAAAATAAAATTTGAATGAAATTTTTATGACTACATATTTTGGCATCATAAATTCAAAAATAAATTGTTCAGCCATGGTCAACTAAAAAACTTTTGAAATAAAACTTATTTAAAAGCATATGTGAACTACATTCTCATTAAATTTAAAATGTTCTTTTTTTACTGCAAAAATAAAAACAGCTAGTGATATATTTGGCATATATAAAACAATCCCATGTTTTGCTCATACTATATATTTTATAGCTAATAACACATTAGAGATTGTATTAATTTAAATCAATTGAATGACAAAATTAGAAATATTGTAAAATTTAAAAAATAGTGTCAATGCTAATCATGAATTAAGAAGTATCCAAAAAAATTATGGTAAAAAATAATATGTTATGTTCATTGTTTTAAAATATTGTATTTCAAGTTTACCAAAAGGAAAAGTTTTAAAATTAGTATTGGACATCAAGACACGTTGGAATAGTCTATATTATATGATGGATAGATTTTTACATTTGTATCGTGTTGTTTTTTCTATTTTATTAGAAAGGCCAAATGCACCTGATTTAATAATAACTAGAGAAATATTGATTGTCAAAAAAGTTAAAAATTTGATGCAACCACTTGAAGACTTGACACAAAAAATCTCTGGTTAAAAATATACCACAATTAGTACAATTTTACCATTGATAAATTGTATCAATAGTGCGGTGAATAATTGTCAAACTACATCTTTAATTGGTATTGAATTAATAAAAAATATATTATTTGAACTTGACAAGCGTTTTAAGAATCTAGAAATATTCAGTCACTTTCCTCTAGCTACATTAAGTCAAAAACATGAAGTCCTTATACCCAAAATTATATTACATTGCTCTTCAAAAATTAAGTATTGTTGCAACCTCTGTTCTATCAGAACGCTTTTTTTTTAAAAAACTGGTCAAACAATATCTAAAGCAAGAAACAGATTGACGGGAAAACATTTATCTAAGCTTGTCTTCATGAGTTCTTTAAGTAAAGCAGATTTGTTTTCAAAAGTCTTATGATATTATAAAAAAAATTTATATATGGTTTTATTTTATAAAAAGTCTTAAATATTTTTTATTTTGATTAATTTTTTAAAATAAAGTGTCTACTTATTTTAGTTTACATATTAATTTTTTTTAATTTAAATAATTCTATTTTAGTTATTTGAAATTAAATTATAAAGTACAAGTCATATAAGGCTCCAATAATAGATTAAATAAATTTAAGTTATGAGGTTATATAAAAAAATTAAACCCTTTATAGCATGTATAATTCGGGAAATAGAAGGATGTAAAAACTTATCATTATTATTAATTTAAGAATAAATATCAATTTCAAATAAAATTGGGTGATACCCAGACTTAAAAATCCTGTAAAAATTGCACATTGTAACTGTGTTTTAAATAGGTAAACAATTTTTTATTATTGTTTAAATTACTAATATTAATAAAAATGATTTCGAATTTTACTACCCAACATGTAATAATGGTGTTTGTGATACACGTTTAATTATTTTTCCTTTAAATATTGATATTTTTGTTAGATATATAGATGTCTCAATATCAAACTAAACTCTATAAATCATTATAGAAAAGCTATAAACAAAATATCGATCCTATTTAATATCGATATTGTGTCAATATTTGCCATCCCTAAATGTAGTGATGGTAGATGTTTACTGATGAACATTTTACCTGTTCTTTAGACTGAAAATCATGTATTTTATCTTCTAATATCTTTATTTGAGATATTTGACTTACAGTTTCAAGCTTAACAAATAAATAAATACTGTTAAGAAATACAGCTACATGATTTTTAATTAGACTTTTATTAGAAGGTTTAACTTTAAATAATTTACCAGTAAATTCATATTTTCTTCATTGAGTTTTATATTTTTTGACTCAAAGCTTTTTATTGTATTTTGATAAATATTTACTTTTTCTATCAATTCCTGTATTGTATTGGTATGTGACTCAATATCATTTTTATCAAATATTTCGTTTTTAACTAATGTATCTATTCTATTTTCTAAATTTTTTTGGACTTTTCTCAAAGCTTTAATTTGATTTTCCTTAAATTTAGTATAAATTTCCATTTTATTTAATAAAGAATTTTTTTTTTCTAGTTCCATTTCAGCATGATTTAAAAGTAATGTCATATCATTCTGAAAAAATAATTACTTTAATTATAATTTTTCATTTTATTTGCAGTTTCAAGCTTAACAAATAAATAAATACTGTTAAGAAATACAGCTACATGATTTTTAATTACACTCTTATTAGAAGGTTTAATTTTTAATAATTTACCAGGAAGTTCATATTTTCTTCAACAAGTTTTACTTTTTTTGATTCAAAGCTTTTTATAGTATTTATATAAATGTTTACTTTTTCTACCATTTCGGATTCATAAGTTGAATGCATAATTTTAAGATTGTTTATGAAATCATTTGATTTAGTGATCTAAAGTTAATGTAAATTAATTAGTACAAGATGATACAAATAAAAATTTTCATTATAACACATTATTTTTATCTTCTTTTGTTAATATATAATATGTTGAACATATTAGTAAAAAAATATTTATATATAAATTATAATAAAAGTATACATAATTTATAAATTGTAATACAATTCATTTATGAATAATTAAAAAAAACCCAGCACAGGGGGGTCGTGGCACAGTGGTGACGTGGTATAGATGGATCAAGTATAATGATATCTGACAGTGATTAAAATCACTATAAAAAAAAAACGCTTCGATGCAAATCTTTAGATAGTGTTTAATTTTAAAAATTTGGTGGATTATTCCAAAAGCTACATGATCTGCTAATTCATTATTAATATCCTAATTAAGATAAAGTATGTCGAATGAAAAATGGGATTATTAAAAAATATTATTTCTCATAAAAAAATAATGTTGATCCATACACTTTTCCATATGTCATAGCATTATAAAGTTAAAAATGTAAAAAATAAAATCGAGAATTTTCACATAATAATAGCATTCGGTAGCCATTTTCATCGTGAAGATAAAATAAAGTCCGAATTTTTTTTTTTTCATAATAAAGTAAATTACATTAGCTTTAATTTAAGATATATATAAAAGTGTCAGACTTTCCGGAACACTTTCAAAATTTAAGTTGAAAAAGTAAATTTTTTGTGAAAAAGTTGTCATTTTGAATCCCCCCCTGTAGGCAGGTAAAAAGTCAGATTTATAAAAAAAATATACCAAATGATAGGTAAAGACATCATGCATCTACAAAAAAAAGAATTATATTGATCCATACATCTTTCGAGAAGTTATAGCATTATAAAGTTAAAAATATAAAAAAGAATTTTTTTACAAAAATCGTATTTTTTTTATAAACTTTAATGTCTGTTTTCACCAGAAAGATAAAATAAAGTCCGAAATTTTTTTTTTTACCATAATAAAGTATATTACATTAGCTTTAATTTAAGATATATATAAAAGTGTCAGACCTTCCGGAACATTTTCAAAATTTAAGTTAAAAAAGTTAATTTTTTGTGAAAAAGTTGTCATTTTAAATCCCCCCTTGTGGGCAGGTTAAGGGTTAAATTTATGAAAAAAATATACCAAATGAAAGGTAATGATATTATGCATATATATAAATAAAAATTATATTGATATGTTAATTTTTGAAAAAATTATGGCACTTTTAAGTAAAAAAAATTGAAAAAATGTCGAAAATTAGCGATTTTTAAATTCGTAATTTTTTTGGAGGTTTCCCCCATTTACGGGGAACGAGGGAATTTTTTTCAATTTTTGAGGGTAATGTCTTCGACTAGATACAATTTGTGATCTTTTGACGTATCATTGAAAGAAATCCGTTCGGTGAGAGCTGAGAAAAAGTGGTAACAGACACAAAAAAAAAAAAACACATCTTAGTAAAACCAATACCTTCTCAGCTACGCATCGAAGCTAAAATATTAATATTCAATTATTGTACAAACTCCTAAAAATTATTGTAAAACCTTTTATTTATTTTAAAAAAACACTAACTTTTTGTAGCATCTCTTGTTGGGTATAACGTTCTTCTTGTATTGTATTGGTAAGTGTCTCAATATAATTTTTATCAGATATTTCATTTTTAACTAATGTATCTATTCTATCTTCTAAAATTTTTTTGTCCTCTTTTAAGATATTACATTCATTTATAAGTTTAATGTTGATATTTTCTAAATACTTAATTTTTTCAGACTGTATTTTATTACGTTCTTTAAAAGACCCTAATTGTTTTTCTAAAGATTTTTTCATATATTCTAATGGCTGGATTTCAGCTCTTAATTGTACCCCCAAAGTTTCAAGTTCTTTAACTGTTTCTTGTTTTTTTTCAATTTCTGACAATGCATTAGACAATTTATTATCTAATAAATTTTCATTTCCTTTTAAGCTTTCAATATGTTTCTCTAATGAGGTCTTCTCTTTGTATAATAATTCAGTGTCTTCTTTCAAAGTTTTAATATTATTTTCCTTAATTTTAGTATCTATTTCCATTTTTTTTATTACAGAATTTTTTTTTTCTAGCTCCATTTCAGCATGATTTAAAAATAATGTCATATCATCCTGAAAATATAATTAGTTTAANAGCTTTAATTTGATTTTCCTTAAATTTAGTATAAATTTCCATTTTATTTAATAAAGAATTTTTTTTTTCTAGTTCCATTTCAGCATGATTTAAAAGTAATGTCATATCATTCTGAAAAAATAATTACTTTAATTATAATTTTTCATTTTATTTGCAGTTTCAAGCTTAACAAATAAATAAATACTGTTAAGAAATACAGCTACATGATTTTTAATTACACTCTTATTAGAAGGTTTAATTTTTAATAATTTACCAGGAAGTTCATATTTTCTTCAACGAGTTTTACTTTTTTTGACTCAAAGCTTTTTATAGTATTTTGATAAATGTTTACTTTTTCTACCATTTCGGATTCATTAGTTGAATGCATAATTTTAAGATTGTTTTTCGAATCATTTAATTTAGTGATCTAAAGTTAATGTAAATTAATTAGTACAAGAAGATACAAATAACAATTTTCATTATAACACATTATTTTTATCTTCTTTTGTTAATATATAATATGTTGAACATATTAGTAAAAAAATTATTATATATAAATTATAATAAAAGTATACATAATTTATAAATTGTAATACAATTCATTTATGAATAATTAAAAAAATATTAGTATTCAATTATTGTACAAACTCCTAAAAATTATTGTAAAACCTTTTATTTATTTTAAAAAAACACTAACTTTTTGTAGCATCTCTTGTTGGGTATAACGTTCTTCTTGTATTGTATTGGTAAGTGTCTCAATATAATTTTTATCAGATATTTCATTTTTAACTAATGTATCTATTCTATCTTCTAAAATTTTTTTGTCCTCTTTTAAGATATTACATTCATTTATAAGTTTAATGTTGATATTTTCTAAATACTTAATTTTTTCAGACTGTATTTTATTACGTTCTTTAAAAGACCCTAATTTTTTTTCTAAAGATTTTTTCATATATTCTAATGACTGGATTTCAGCTCTTAATTGTACCCCCAAAGTTTCAAGTTCTTTAACTGTTTCTTGTTTTTTTTCAATTTCTGACAATGCATTAGACAATTTATTATCTAATAAATTTTCATTTCCTTTTAAGCTTTCAATATGTTTCTCTAATGAGGTCTTCTCTTTGTATAATAATTCAGTGTCTTCTTTCAAAGTTTTAATATTATTTTCCTTAATTTTAGTATCTATTTCAATTTTTTTTATTACAGAATTTTTTTTTTCTAGCTCCATTTCAGCATGATTTAAAAATAATGTCATATCATCCTGAAAATATAATTAGTTTAATTATAATTTTAATTATTAAAAAAATTCAATTCATATATTTATTGTAGTGTACATATTAGTGTATTTAATCTTCTTGTATCTTTATTTGAGACATTTTATTTGCAGTTTCATGCTTAACAATGTAGTAATTACCAGAAGAAGTAATGAATTACGTCGATTTTAGTATAATATAAGCTTTACAATAGTAGTAAGCAATTTTTAAACTCTTAAGCAATATAATAATTCCATATAAAAGGGAAATGCAAGGTAAGCAAATTAATAATGGTGGGAAAAAGAATATAAAAGGAAAACATGAAAATTATAGGGGGACGTAGTCTGGACGTTTTGTCGAAGAAACGTCGATTTACGTGTCAGGAAGTTGGACAATAGTGTCTTTGTACGATTTAATTTTTGTTTCGTGTTACTTTTTGATATTAACTTTTTGACTTTATGTTTAATACGTTTCTTAAATAAAATAGCTACTTAAAAAACTGGACTTAGCGCATATATTTTTTATTCATCGTGTTTTTAGAATTGTGTGTGTATGTTTGGCTAGAGTTAAGGTCTTTAGTCAATCTTAATAATTAGTGTACGAGCTGGCTAGTTTTTGGGCTTAACCGTACTTTAGTGAGTATAGTAAAAAGGTAGTTGTGCTGGTGGCTGACAAGGAGCCATCCTTCAGTCTACTACTTTTGAGCTAAACCGTGCTGACGGGTCTAAATTCTACCCCTTTGGTAGTTCACTAATTTGAGGGATTCGGTATGATCAGTTTATCCAACGGGAGGACACGAGAAGAGCTTGAAAGACGAACACGTCGTCCATATATATATATATATATATAACAATAATTAATTTGTGTAAAACTTTTGTGTCTACATTTGGGCACTACCAACATTCGATATAAAATTGGCACCCAATTAGAGGTTCGTACCGACACGACCCCTCGAAGTTTTTTTTTTCGTGACATCGAACTTTGTGTGTGCGTGTAATTTCGCGTCACTATAAGGATTAATTGAAACATTTAACCGGAAGACCCGAGGTTAGTGCAAAATATATTTATATATTGAAAGGTTACAAATATATAAAAAAAATCAAACTAATTGGCCGCAACGAAAAATTTTTAACTTTCATGGCGTTTTACAAAATTATAAGATAAGGGTCGCCAACCTACTGGGCGAGAATGTGTATTGTCGGACCACAGTAGGATTTTAAAAAAATTAACTTTTGGATATTAAAACAATTAACCAAAAATATAAAATTAATAAATATTAAAGTTGATGTCCGTTGAGTCGTTGATAGTAGATGTACACCAAAACCTCGTGACAGTTGTTTGAACTGGGCTTTTTTGAAAGGTACACTTGTCGGCATAATGACATACCTCTTTACACTTAAAACAATTGACCTTACTTAAGCTAATCATTTGATCACTATTTTCATACCGTAATTCTTTCTAGGATATGGGCTTTTGTCTCTATAATTAGGTCTATAATCTGCGTATTCTCTATTTCGCTCATAGCTCTTGTCTCTGTTATACTTACTGTAAGGCTAAGTTTACATGGACCATTCACATGTACGCGCAAACACGTGCGTCAGGTCTTATTATCTACCTTATATAACATTTAGTTATAACAACACTCCTCAAATATCCACTAACCACACGCCTTTTTATTTATTACACGGATTTAATGCTAACTTAACGATAGATTTGCAATTAACTCCTGAAATTCTTCCATATGATATCAAACAAGCATTACACGAATTAAAAACAATTAGGGATAAAATACCTGAGTATATAAAAAAAAAACCCAGCACAGGGGGGTCGCGGCACAGTGGTGACGTGGCATAGTTGGATCAAGTATAATGATATCTGACAGTGATTAAAATCACTATAAAAAAAAAACGCTTCGATGCAAATCTTTAGATAGTGTTTAATTTTAAAAAATTGGTGGATTATTCCAAAAGCTTCATAAACTGCTAGTTCCTTATTAATATCCTGATTAAGACAAAGTATGTCGAATAAAAAAGAGATTATTAGAAAATAGTATTTCCCATAAAAAAATTATATTGATCAATACACTTTTCAATAAGTTATAGCATTATAATGTTAAAAATGTAAAAAATAAAATTGAGAATTTTCACACAATAATAGCATTTGGTAGCCATTTTCACCTTGAAGATAAAATAAAGTCCGAAATTTTTTTTTTCCATGATAAAGTATATTACATTAGCTTTAATTTAAGATATATATAAAAGTGTCAGACTTTCCGGAACACTTTCAAAATTTAAGTTGAAAAAGTCAATTTTTTGTGAAAAAGTTGTCATTTTGAATCCCCCCCTGTAGGCAGGTAAAAAGTCAGATTTATAAAAAAAATATACCAAATGATAGGTAAAGACATCATGCATCTACAAAAAAATAATTATATTGATCCATACATCTTTCGAGAAGTTATAGCATTATAAAGTTAAAAATATAAAAAAGAATTTTTTTACAAAAATCGTATTTTTTTTATTAAGTTTAATGTCTGTTTTCACCATGAAGATAAAATAAAGTCCGAAATTTTTTTTTACCATTATAAAGTATATTACATTAGCTTTAATTTAAGATATATATAAAAGTGTCAGACCTTCCGGAACACTTTCAAAAGTTACGTTGAAAAAGTTCTACTTTCTATATGCATTTTTATGTTTTGAATCCCCCCTGTATTTAGGGAAATGGTCCGATTTAAAAAAACAGTATGTCGAATGAAAGATCTATATAAATACTACTTCTCATAAAAAAATTGTAATGATTCATACATTTTTCAAAAAGTTATAGCATAATAAAGTTAAAAATGGAAAATACAAAATCGAAAATTTTCACACAAAAATAGCATTCGGTAGCCATTTTCACCATGAAGATAAGATAAAGTCCGAAATTTTTTTTTTTCATGATAAAGCATATTACATTAGCTTTAATTTAAGATATATATAAAAGTGTCAGACCTTCCGGAACATTTTCAAAATTTAAGTTCAAAAAGTTAATTTTTTGTGAAAAAGTTGTCATTTTAAATCCCCCCTTGTGGGCAGGTTAAGGGTTAAATTTATGAAAAAA